TTTACTGTCAGCGAAATAAGAAGAGGTCTTAAGTATGAGTTAAGAAATGACTACCTCTGAGTGGGAATTTGGACAGCACAGCCAACTTACCAGGAAATCTTGTGCTTCCTCCGGAAGAAAAACTGGTTTTTTGAAAAAACCCTCAAGCATCAACGACGTGTAGAACATGTAAAAAATGACGATGAGTGACGCAAATACAACAAACACGGGCAAGAAGACAGACACGAAATACCAAATCTGAAATTTTGTTATCCACGATATTCCAGTTATCACGTGAAAAAAAAAACAGAACAGAAAAAACCTCATTCTAATCCATGTTTTTGAACTCAAAAAACAAGCACCTTGTGGTATTTGGCAGCTTGACTTTGAGTGTTCAAGAAATTTTGCTCGTTTTAAATTCGAAACCTGTGGACGATCTTTTGGCGCGGAAATTCGTGCAAAGAGCTGAAGTAGATATGTGCGTCTTTCAACAAAATGGACAGCAACCCCAAGATGACCAACCGTGCTACTGCTAGACACATCAATCATGATTCGACCGCTTGAAGTACCATGCAAATGAAAAAAATGGAAATTTCTCTTGCAACTTTCATATGATTCTTTCGCTGAGTTTTTGATTAAGCTAGAAATTCATTGTGTAAGTTCACTAGCATTACAACTGGCTTCGTCACCTTCTCCCTGTTCTTTTTTATCTCAGCAAAGCCGCCCCAGACAAAAGGAGAGAAAATTGCATAAATGAGAAATAAACAAATAAAATGATTAAAATTAATAAATACAATAAAAAAAGAGAAAGCGAGAATGAAAGCAGGAAAATGAGGGCGAAAGGAAGTATATTTATCAGAAGTAGGTGCAATTAAAAGCCGTTTTTTCCATTCCAAGGAAGAAATCCAAGAAAAGCCAAAAAAAACAGTTAACAAGAGTGAAATTAGCTTAACAGATATTTTGTAAATTGTAATAACAAAAAAAGAATTACGAAAATGAAAATCACAAAAGTGCAGAAGGAAATCGTGAAAACACCCGTCAGTGGTACCCACGTAAAGAAAACCGAGCATCTGGAGGGTCCTTCGAGCAGACGGAATAAGTGGAAGGCATAGGTGGAAAACACCTTGGAAGCATAAGATGATCTTGGTAATTATGTGTTTTTACATTTTTATGCAAATACGCAAATACATATTGTCTAGGGTTTGTCGGCGCTTATGTGTTTGTATGTGTATGTGTGTGCATGTGTGTGTGCACACGTGTGCAGGTATTTTTGTATACATTTGTTTATGTATGTATTTATTTATTTATACATGTATTTATTCATGTATATATGTATTTATGTATGTATGCATGTATGTATGTATGTATGTATGTATGTATGTATGTATGTATGTATGTATGTATGTATGTATATGTTCGAATTTGTTGTTATATTCAACTCAGCAACCTTATAGGCTAGAAAGCTGAAATTTCACAAGGATGTTTCCTCGCCTATGTGCCACCATTCAAAAAGCTTAAAATCAACGTCCACATACAGCTCCTGCGTCATGATAATTCAAATTCTGCAATTTCCAAAAACAGCGATTTTCAAAAAATCGCCAAGCGAGTGCTTTTTGCGGATTTCTCAGGAAGCCATGTGTCCACTTTCCTCTCATTGTCTGGCACCCTACTCCATTCCGTTCTTCTTTCATGTGCCCTTTTTTTTCGCGCTGTATCGGAAGTTATTTTTACGGAGATGATTTTACGTGGTGTTTTGCGTAAGTTTTAAGGGGTGGGGGGTGGTTTTTTGGTTGCTTTCGGTGTTTTTTTTGAAGTTTGTCCTGCTTTTTTTCCAGGGAACTTGCTTTGAATAAACCTTTCAATGCAAAA